TATATATATATATATATATGTGTATATATATATATATATATATATATGTGTATATGTGTGTGTATATGTGTATATATATGTGTATATATATATGTGTATATGTGTATATATATATGTGTATATGTGTATATATATGTGTATATATATATGTGTGTGTATGTATGTATAAGGCCTTCCCACAGCTTTGCATTTTCTAAACAAAGTTTCTAAACACTCTAATAAAAAGAGCACAGAATGTCATGATTTTAGCTCTCTGCCTCTTCTGAGCCATAGCTGCTCTCGGCCACGCCCACTTCTCCGCTGCTGAACGGAGATTGACAGAGGAGGAGCTGCAGGAGGAAGTTTCTCCTGCGGTCTGGGCTGCACAAAGGTGCAGCAGGTGCTAAATACATTAAAATAATGCATTTTAAATAAAAATTCCATTCAGATCGTGCGACTGATCCATCAGTCAGCCAATTGTGTGTCATGTCCAATCTTATTTTGAAAAACCGTGATAGAGCGAGTCTGCGAAAAACGAACCGCAAAGTAGCGAGGGACTACTGTAGTTCCAATTCACAACAAACATGGTTCAAGCAGTACAGAAGTAAAATTTTAATAGAATCTGAATGTTACAAGAAGCCAATGAAACAAATATAAAATTGTGAAATACAATAATGTATTGCACAAGTTCACTGGAATACTTATTGTGGTTTTCATGAGTTGGCTTCATAGAAGTAAAATAAATATTTAAAAGTTTTAAAAATAGAGAAAAACTTTTAATGAATAAGTTAAAAAGCTTAGAAAGGGAAATTAAACTGCACATGTATTGCATGTGTTGTGCATATACATTAGTCCCTCGCTACTTCGCAGTTCGGCTTTCACGGTTTTTCAAAGTAATATTGGACATGACACACAATTGGCTGATTGATGGATGAGCCGCATGAGCGGCATGGATTGTTTATTTAAAATTAATTAATTTAAATGATTTAGCACCTGCTGCACCTCTGTGCAGCCCACAGGTGCAGGGAGAACCTCCCTCCTGCAGCATGTCATGATCTCTGCTCTCTCTGCCACCTGCCAGTGACTGCAGCGGATAAGTGGGCGTGGCCAAGAGTGGCAGGAGGCAGGGAGCTGTGATCATGACGTGCTGTTGTCTTTTAGAGTGCTTAGAGTTTAGAAACATTGTTTAAAATATTGCAAGTGTGTCGCAAGGGTTTTGCCGCCGTACACTTCGCTTTGCCATATAAGTTGCATCTATTATGCATCACCACTGATGCATCACATTTGTTGTGTGTCACCACTGACCACCCGAAAACATGGGTCGGTGTTGTACCAAAAATCGATTGTCTGCCAAAAGGCAGCCTTGGGAGCATGCACGGGAGGACTTTAACAAGAATTTAACAAGATTAGCACTTAAAAACAAGTATTTGTATGCTCAAAATTATTGCAATGGTGGGTCTCTGTTGAACTTTTCCTTAATAAATGCGCTTTAATGGTCAAATCTGCTGCATTTCACCTGGGCAGGATGGCGAAATGCAGCTGATTTCACGTTTGCTGCAGGAGTTCCGAAGCGAGACGAAGATGGCTTTGTATGACAAGCCAAGTGTTTCAGTAATAGCCACTTTTACCTATTAATGAGACACTCCGCTTGGCATATTGCTCGAACGCCCTCTAGCAGCTGAAAATGGTAGTGTTCAATATTTTCCATGTCAGAATGAATGAAATCGTCAGATCTCAGCCAAAAATTGGGTTATAAATATGGGGGGGGGAAATCAGAAATAAGTCGCTTCGCTATACAAGCCACAGGGCATGCTAATTTATGCAAAAAGGTGCAACTTATACAGCAAAACATACAGTACTACTTATTACTACTACTACTACTTGTACTACTATTCCTACTTTACGGTTTTTCACTTATCGTGGGGGGCTGGGAATGGAACCCCTGTGATAAACGAGGGACTAATGTATATTTCACAGCAATGTTGTGTAGAAGCAAAGACCATGTAGGGAGAGCAGAATATTTAATTGTTATTTATATTAAAAAAGGTTGGTTTAAGTTTTGTGCCAGCAGCAGTCTAACAGCAGCAGGGAAGAATCTGAAGAATGTGTCTTTAAAGAGGCTGAAATGCAAAATGTAAGAATTGTAAAGTGTTACTTTATTCTGATTTTATAAAGCAAGTCTCCCTGCTTATTATTCCTCATGTTTTAGATCATACCTAATAAAAAACAACTTTTATTTCCTTTTCAATCAGTAGAATTGTTATATGGAGATATTTTCATTATCCAATAGTCCTTGTTAGTAAAATATCTACAGTGCGGGTCAATGAAATGTGATTTTGTAACGTTTTATGTGACCGCTTAATTCTAACAAGAATAAATGGTAACATAATTATGAACTAATCTATTGTTGCTGTGATGCATTTACCAAATCAACATTCACATTCTCAGTTTTTTCTCGTCTCGTATCAGGATTCCTGGCTGTTGAGTGTGATACTTATCCCTCAATATGTCCATAATTGTGGAAATTCAAACATTCCACAGGCACACATAAATATTTACTGTTGACGATATGTTTCGCACTCAGTAAGTGATTCTTTATCAGCCTCTGAGAACAGTTCATTTGCCACGTGCGTATGCGTGTTTGTTGATAGATCAGAATGATTAATATTTATTAGTTGTGCCTCTCTGCGTGCCCGTGGTTTCTCCGCTTTGACAACTGGCAGTAATGGCCAACCGTCTGAGTGGATTTGCCGTCCCATTGCTCCGTTATTGAAGTGAGTGCGGTACAGCAGCTGGTAGAGCGGTGGACCGCTTATGATAACAGGTGTCTCAACCGTAGGACTGTGGGCTCGTTGCCGTGGAAACTAATGTTAAAGACTCTTTCTTCTGCCACTTTATCACTTTCTCCGTGTCTTATATTTGGTTCCTGTCTCCCCTTTCTTGCTCCACCTCCTTTTTCTATTTTCCGTCTGGATTGTTGATCTATTTCGATCAGTTTTGTTTTCATGTAGGATTTTCTTGCTGTGTGTAAACACAAACTCACCCACTCCTTGCATCTCTCCTCCACAGTTGCTCCCACGGTGCGAATCGTTCCCCCTTCAGGCATTTTGCGTGAGGGCGACTCACTCAGCCTCACCTGCTCCATCACTGGGAATCCTTTGTAAGTCTGACTGTTCTGATTTGTACAAACATGATGATGTAATTCACCTCCTGCGTTGCACAACATACACTATGAGCACATTTTTCAATAGTAAATGAGGGAAAATAAGTTTAACGCATACAAAAGCCACTAACAAATCTTAAAAATAATCTGCATTTTTAATTGACTACATTCCACCTCTTGGAAAATGAAGAATTGTTGAATGTATTTGGAGCAGAATGCTGCCAGTGCAGCTGTTGTGGAGTTGCTTTTAGATTGTATATTTAATTCAATTTGGTTTATTTATATAGCGCCAATTCACAACACAGTTGTCTCAGGGCACTTTACAGGAACATTCACATACATACAAAATCCAATTAGTAAAGTTCTCTATCTAAGGCGGCCAGCAGACTCGTTGAATCTTGGCTTCGTTGCAGTCTCCCATCCTGAGCAAGCACAGTGGCAACAGTGGAAAGTAAAAAATCTCCCTTTTGAAAAGAAGAAACCTCCAGCAGAACCAGGCTCAGGACAAGTGGACATCTGCTTTGAACGTCTGGGTTTGAGAGGACAGGAAGGAGAGCCAAACGAACACAGAATGGCAGGTCCAGATGTAGGTCCAGATGTAGGTGCAGGTGTACCTGAAAGACAAAAACACGTCAAGGGTAGAAAAAATAATTACAAATACAAAACAGGTTGAGCAGAGTAAGTAAAGACAGTAGCAGAGTGAAGAAATGTGGTCAGTTTGTCCTCCAGCAGTCTAAGCCTATAGCAGCATAACTAAGGGATAGCTTAGGAAACCCAAACCAACCCTAACTATAGGATTTATCATAAAGGAAAGTCTTGAGCCAAGTCTTAAAACTGGACAATGTGTCAGCTTCATGGACAGAAACTGGAAGTTGGTTCCACAAGAGAGGAGCCTGATAACTGAAAGAGCTTCCTCACATTCTGCTTTTAGAAACTCTAGGAACCGCAAGTAAAAAACCTGCAGTCTGAGAGCGAAGTGCTCTGTTAGGAAAATATGTAATAAGATCTGTAATATAAGATGGAGCTAGGTTGTTGAGAGCTTTGTAGGTTAGAAGTAAGCTTTTGAATTATATTCTGAATAAATTAACTTTTTTCTTTCTTTTATAGAAACCTTTGACTAAATGAAGGCCTCGCATTATTTAAAGGAATATCTATAGCCCACCGCCTTTCATGGCAGAATTTTAAATGGATTTTAAAGATAATCTTAGCTTTAAGAATGATGAAGTTTTAGCTTTTTTGGTCATATTTTCAAATAACTGTATGTGCGTTTGCATGCAAGAATTCATGATTTGTTATTGCTCAGAGTTTGTGTTGGCGATGAGCTTTCACTGCAGCCACACCATAGTTATGTTTAATATTTGTCAAATTGACTGAGCTTAAGCCAAGTTTGTGTTTTCTAAGGTTCATTAACTGCCAGACATCTTAACTTAACTCCAAAAAAATTTTAATAGTTTAGATAAAGTCTCAATGATTACTTTCCAAGAGTTTCTGTTAAATTCATTCTGTGGTTCAGAAGACATTTTACCAAAAGACAGACAAACACGCACACTTAGGCAACAATATTATTCCATCTTTCAACAATTGGCAATAATAACAGTAATTGTTTTTAAGAGTTCAGACAAATTTGATATGGGATGCCAAAAGTGGTTTTGATTAAATCAAACCTCGGAAAGATTACCAGGTAAAGTGTCAGTTCATCAAATGCAGAACAACACAACAAACATAAAAAAACAGGTGTGTTTATTCAAGATGATTCATTATTGAAAGTGACCAAAGTATGCAAAAACAAGTAATATTAATAATAGGCCAATTATTAGTCAAGTGTTTTCCATGAATCTGTTTTTATTTGTACTTTTTTCTCTGCAGAGACTGACTCAGAATGTAAATTAAAGAAAGCTTAAAAGCCTCAGTTCTGAGTCTCTAGAGGTCCACAAACACCGAGCGCTCGTAATATTAAGAAATTACCATTTCAGTTTTTCTTTTCTTTCTTTCTCATATTGTTTATCTTAAACACATAAGTTTATTTTCTTAATTTCCACAATTGGCACGACAGATCTAAAACCACGTCTGCCAGAATTTTTATAGAAATGCCATTTTCTTGTTTGCTCATAAAATTTAGACGTGTGTAATGTAGCTTACATGCGTATTTTTACAAGAATAAGGATAGTTAAAAATGGCTACTTGAACCAACTTGTGAAATTACTCACTTTAGCTGTCTACTTGTGATCAAATCACCCATAATCTAATAAAGCCATTTGTAATCAAGAGGAGAAGGGGGAAAAGATAAAAGCATTCCCCATAATTCATTAAATCTTTCTTCTACTTAAAATGATCCAATTTATTTCACACACATTTTTTTAGCAGTTGCCTTTTCTCACTGATTAAAACCATTGAATTAATCATGCATTCTTTAATTTCACTGGTCTTTAAAAATTTAAACTGATGGAGAGGTGAGCTTTTTAAAACATTTAAAGCCTGCCAAGTTCTCGCCACGCAGCAACGGCTGAAAAATTAAATTGATGTGAATGTTCCCAACCTTTGTAGCTCCTTCAGTGACTGTTTGAAGCTAGAGTCAACTCAACTTCTTCTATTTTCGACTACTGTGTAGAGCACCGCTGTACTTCGTTACAGCTGTCAGTTTTTTTTAGTGTTCTCATAGTTTTAGTAAATAGGACTGATTTTTACTTTTCAATGGAAAAGTCTGCACAAATATCCTTCTTGTTGTGGTATCTACAACTTCATAGGAGTCATTTTTTTCTAAGTACATGGGTTGTGATACACTTTTATTTTCTGATATTTATCCTTCCATCCATTCATTCATCCATCATCTTATACTCACTTCTTCCTTTTTGGATCGGGGGATCACTGGTGCCCATATCCAGCAGTCACCGTGCAAGAGGCGGGGGACACCCTGGGCAGGTCACAAGTCCATCACAGGGACACATAAAGACATATGAGACAAACAACCATTCACTCCCACTCACACCTAGAGACAATTTAGAATTACCAATCAGCCTAACATGCATGTTTTTGGTCTGTGGGAGGAAACCGGAGTACCCAGAGAAAATAGATGCATGCAGAGAGAACAAGCAAATTCGGCCCTGAATTGCCCTGTGGCCGGGATTTGATCCAGCGACCTACTCACTGACAGGCAGCAGCTCTACCATTTGAGCCGCCATGCTGCCCAATTCAATTCATCCATCCATCCATCCATTATCTTTTACCCGCTTTTTCCATTTTTGGGTCACGGGGGTCACCGGTGCCCATGTCCAGCAATCATTGTGCGAGGGGCGGGGTACACCCTGGACAAGTCGCAAGTCCATCACAGGGACACATCGAGACAAACGAGACAAACAACCATTCAGTCTCTCACACACACCTAGGGACAATTTAGAGTTGCCAATCAGCCTAACATGCATGTTTTTGGTCTGTGGGAGGAAACCGGAGTACCCGGAGAAAACCCACGCATGCACGGAGAGAACATACAAACTCCACCCAGAAAGGCCCCCAGACCAGGATTTAAACCAGGGACCTGCGTGCTGAGGCAGCAGCTCTACCAATTGAACCACCATGCTGCCCAATTCAATTCAATTAAGTTTATATATATAATGCCAAGTCACAACAGAAGTTGTCTCAGGGGACTGTAGGAAAGCATTCACATATATTATAAAAGCCAATTTGGAAAAGTTTTCTATCTAAGGAAGCCAGCAGATTGCATTTTCATAAACAACATAGATCATTGAAGAACTTTTTGAATTAATAATAAGTAGATATTTTGATTATATTTGGACAGTTGCACATTGACTGCTGGATGAGAGCACCAGTGACCTCTGCAACACAAAAAGGAAGAAGTGAGTTAAGATAATGGATGGATGAATGTGATTATATTTGGATTGTATTATGCATGATTGGATAAAAAATAGAAAGATAGACATTCAGCAGAATTTTTTTTTCATCTTCCTTTTCTTTAGGGGCAACTGTGGCTGAGTGGTTCGAGCAGTCGTCCTCCAATGGGAGAGTTTAGGTTCGATTCCACCAGCAGTCACATGTTGAAGTGTCCCTGGGAAAGACACTGAACCCCTCAGTGCCTCCAATGTGTATCTTATTGGTGTATAAATGTGATTTAAAGCACTGATTAGTCTCCACAGATTCAGATAGGCTTTGTAGAGATCTAGTAGAGTGCTGTATGAATGGGTAAATGAGGGCACAGCTTGTAGTGTAAAGCACTTTGAGTATCTTGATAAGATAAAAAGGTGCTATATAAGCAAGTCAATTTGAAATTTATTTTTCTTTCAGCTTTTCCCTCTTCAGGGGTTGCACAAGTCATCCTCCTCCATCTCTCTGCATCCTCTGTCCTCACAACAACTACCTCCATGTCCTCTCTAACTGTATCCATATATCTCCTCTACCCACTGTCCCTCCTCTGGACATGTCCAAACCATCTCAGTCTGTCCTCTCTAACTTTGTCTCCCAGTTGTTCAACCTGTGCTGTACCTCTGATGATCTCATTCCTAATCTTATCCATCTTTGTCACTCCGAAGGAGAACCTCAACATCTTCATGTCACTACTGTCTTGTAAACTTTTTCTTTGACTTCCTCTGACACTCTTTTGTCACAAATCATTCCTGAACTTTTCTACATCCATTGACACAGATTGTAGAGTAACGTGCTTTGAGTATTTTTGATAATATAGAAAGGTGCTATATAAGTACAGTCCATTTACCATTTATTTGAAGTCATGCATCTTTGTGACCTCTGCTCATTGTAGCCTCACTGTTTCAACAGCCTCCCTCTCATTCACACACATGTACTCTGTCTTAATACGGCTGACTTTCATTCCTCTTCTTTCAAATGCATACCTCCACCTCTCCAAATTCTCTTCCACCTGTTCTCACCACAGATCACAATGTCATCTGCAAACATCATAGTCCATGGGGATTCCTGTCTGAACTCATCAGTTAGTTGGTCCATCAACAGAGCAAAAAAGAGGGGGCTCA